CGCTTTTAAAAAATATAAGCATTACTTAAAAATTATACTGTCCATATTAAATAACTTTCTGTTTTGATTAAAATATTCTATTTTTTGGTTGTTATGTTTACACAACATATATCTAATATTATTATGCAATGTTTTGTATTGTATAATTTTTTCATAATATTCTTTTGTGTTGTAATAAATTCGTAGAAATAAGTTTCATTATATTAAACTATCCACTGTACATATTCGCACAATAACAATATAATAAAATTAGAAATTTGTATTCAATTCTTATAAAACACTAATAATATAGATAAAGATAAAATTATAAACAATAATTGAAATATTATTATTTTGTATTTATATAATTTGATTTTTATATCAGAATCTTAAAATAAAATTATTTTATGTGTATGTGCACGTATGTTTCGTCAGTCCGATTATCATTTCTTTCCTTTTAAATAATGTTGCGCTAATTTTTATTTATAAATGCAAATTTCATTTGCCTCTTTCTGAATTTAAATATAGTCATTAGCGGTATTAGAGGATACATTAGTATTGTTTCTCGCTTGGATCTTCAACCAGAATCCTCCTTCTGCTAGCATAGTGAAGTTTGACTTACTCAATCGCATCGGATGCGTAGTTTTCACGCACGGTTTCAATTCGCAACGAGCTAACAAATGGAACAGCATGACCTTAGTCTCCAATAATGCGAACCTATTGCCTATGCACATTCTTGGACCGATACCAAACGGAATATACGCGGCTGAATTTATCTCTTTTTTATTTTCGTCTAGAAAACGTTCGGGACGAAACTCATCCGGCTTCTCGAAATATTTTGGATCCCGATGAAGACCGTACACAGGAAACCATACGCTCATCCCTTTCTTTAAGAGGAATGGCTTGTCGCCAGGCAGTGCTGGAGGTAGCTGAAAATCTTCCGCGGATATCCTATCGAGAAAAACGGCTACGGGCCACATTCTAAGAGTCTCATTGACTACGGCATCAAGATACTGCATTCCGTTCAATGCCTCATAGGTCAATTCCCCATTAGTTGTTTTCATAACTTCGTCTACCTCGTCACGTAGTTTGGCCTGAACGTCCGGATTCACGCCGATTTCGTGAGCAACGAAACACATTAAAGTGGAGACGGTATCGAAACCACCAAAGAAAAAGATGAACGCCTGCGCAGTCATATCCTCGATAGTCAGTTCCTTTCCGGGTCCCCTCTTTCCTCTAGTCTCCATCATCAGTTGCAGCATATCCGGTCGTACGATATTTTTCGTGTCTCTGGTATATATCGTACTTCTTATGAGATCTTTGAAAAATTGGGCTACGCGTTCACTAATAAATTTAACACCCAACATTTTCGTGATAACTGGCATACTTCTAACGAAGTAGAATTTTATGGTACGCAAAGTGTTGAAGGTAGTAGCTTCCTTTCCGTAAACGTAGAACTCATTGTTAGGATTCTTCATAGAATCGACGTTGATACCAAAGGCGCAAGTTGCGATTACATCATTCGTGTATCTAGTGAAGCTATTCTTCAATTCCATAACACTTTTGTCAGGAGGTAATTTAGATAAGAAATCGGTAAAAGAGACGGCACACTCGGACATCAACTTGAACATGGTTTTCATTTTACTGGATGTAAAAGCGGGACTTAGCAAAGTCCTTACGTCTCGCCACTTATCGCCACGAAGCGAAAACAGATTCTTGCCAAACAGCGGATCGTTAACTTCGTCAATGAAAGCACGATGATCGGGGAACGCCTCAAAGTTCTTAACGCCGATGGCTTTGATAAGTTCTGGATCGCGAATTATCACTACTGGATTCATACCGTCGAAGAAACCAACATATTTGGCATCTCGATTTAGAATGTAGATTTTTTGAATAAGTTCGGCCAACGATAGCTGACGAAGAAAAGCCGGCGCCATATTGCCCACAAGAGGCCATGGTGATATATGTAAAATTCCTTGTTTCTCAAAAAACTTCAAGTTTTTAAAAAAGTAATAATAAATAGCGATAGTGCCAGCTAAGAGAGACAGCAGTATCCAAGTATCCATGATGACGACGGAACGTTCTAATGAATCACATCGATCACTCTATCACGACGTTGCTTGATTGCGAGTGCGCGAGTGACTATTGCAATTTAAAATGACTCCTTTCTTTTATATAACTGGCGTGATTCAGTCGCTTTACGTAAGATGGCACATAATTAAGTATTTGTTGCTGATAGAGAGCGAAAGTGCGAACGAGTACTGATATCACATAACTTAATGTTTTATCTCTACTAGGCAATTAAGTATTATGATAGTTCTATGATAGAAAGTTGAGAAAAAGCATAATGAGCAATTTAAATTCGACATTTTTCAATGGACGGAGCTCTGAAAAATGCTCATCTCTCGAACGATTCAATGATGAATTTAATAAGTTTCAGTGTGATAAATGATAAATTTTTCGAAACATTTATTTTTGTTTAGAATTGCCATTAGAAATTCGCTTTACTCATACGTATGTAAATGTAACCCAACAAATTACATTGAATAATTTTAAAATAAATTAGTTGTCATGGCTATCTAAATCTTATAATTTTAAATGAAGGAATACGCGTAATATGATAAAATATTGATTTATTGATTTATTGATTGAATTCTTGTTGGTACCAGGTCTCGGCTGTTGCCAACGAAGATTCAGATGACACCTCTGAGAAAGAACCTTCCTCTTCTTAATTATGGGTTTGAAAGAAAGAAGTGGTGAGAAGCTCGCGCGGGGATTCTGATCATTTCCACCTATAAATATGCGTGCGGAAAAAGCAGCAGCGCGCTTTTCGGTACTAACTAGGCGGTGACATTAGTTAGTTCAGTTCATAAGTCGTGCGTGATCAACCTTAGGGTTAAATTTTTAAATTTGTAATCAATGTCTGTAATATTTCTCTTAGGAGAATTTAAATTTAAAAGCCTCCTCGATTAAATAAAGATAATTTTAAACTAAAATAATTGGGAAAACTGAAATCTTAAATTCTTCTTAATTAAAATCAAGATCATAATTCTAAATTCAAAATCGGTCGCTAACAATAGCGTAGCGTACCATTTAGTCGCAGCCAATGGTGTTGCGACTGAATAATTTGAATTTAGAATCTTAATAATAAATAATTATTTTCAAAAATATTCATGCCCAAAAGAGGAGGGTGCAAAGTTCAAATTAAAAGATTAAGATTTCAGTTAAATTAAACGATAATTTTAAATAAAGATCCTTTCTCATTATTCCTAAAATTTAAAAATTTGAAAAGACAAACTAAAACTAAAATAATTAAGCAAATTCCTAAATATAAATTAAGAAAAATTGATTTCAAGGTAAATTATCCAAATTATAATCAAATTAATAAGAAAGATCAAAATTTATAAAATTCGTTTCCTATTCGGGGTTGATTAATTCACAAACCGGTCCAATCCCAGAGTAAAGTACTTAAATGTATTGACCTAAAAACGGACAATCAGGACGTAACATACAGTTAAAAATAATTAAATTAAATAATTTAACTATATTAAAATTAAATTCAGAAATTATGTGAAATTAATATATTAATATATAAATAATTAATATCTGAGAAAATCTAAGTTTGTTATATAAAACTGCTTAAAACTCAAAGATTTCACATATTTTTCGAGATCCTTCTACTACTTTTTCTTTACTTTTAAGTGTTCGACTGAGGCACACAGATTGATTACATTTTTAAGTAACTTATCTTTTTGATTATTTTCTCGACAATTTTACATTAAAGTATATCTCGCCGTTTTTTAATCTCTTTCTTTCGGATGTATTTGCTTCGTCGGCTTTGTCCCTTTTTCACTCAAAAAGGTCCGATCTACACTAGATTGTCGGGTAATACCGCAGGTTATTTGGCCTTCTCTCTTAAATGCTGTGGAACGTCGCCTTGAAGCCAGGATATTGCGAACGATGGGATCACCGTACGGAAACAAAGCCAGGCACTTAGCGGCAAATTAGCGATGGCTAGGGGCGCCACTGTCGCTCTTCATTACACCGATACCCTCCTACCTCCTCAACCCCCTCCCATGACATCCCCTAACTCGGTCTAACTCTCTTAACCCCGTCCAGACAATGCACGCGCCACCCGCTCTTCGCGTATATCGACGAACGAAATGTCGACTCCGCGTAAAAATTCTCTGAAATGTGACGGCTTGATTTTTCTCCTTTCGTTCTTACGCTTCGTTCGTCTGCATGATCTCTTATCGTATTTAAAAAGTTCTCATGTCTATGTATATATCTCTGATATATTGTGTGTGTGTGTATGTATATATATATATATATATATATATATATATATATAT